TAAATAGACCTTTCCCACAAATAAGTCTATAACTGAACATTTGTTCATCAGTTGAGTTATTGAACCATAAATACACCTTTTCAGTTGCACTTAAGCCTCGATAGCAAGTTAAATTATTCTTTTGAATTTGACAAATGAGACTATTCATATCAATGTTTGCATTGCTCACATTCCTACAAATTCAAAAGAATATTTAACACGCTGTCGAGGCCTATTGAGCAACTGAAAAGGTGTATTAAAACTGTGCCTGAGTTTGATTGGCTACAGCTGCTTCTAGGACCCTTCCAGATAATGAAAACAAAGATATTTCAAAAAATTTACATCTCTTCTGCAGAATTAACAAAAACTGAAATCCCAATATATTTGTGTGTACAATCGAGTTTGAAAATAGGATGACATTTTGTACTCAGAGTGCATGAGCAGGCTATTCAACCAGAGTACTTACGAATACAATTGGAAAGCACTAAGTATATGTTGTATGGATTAAGACTAAATGTACTTTCTTACCCAGGGAATGAGCAGCCGTTGTCTTTGAACTAAAGAAYCTMCCAAGACCTAAATCACCAAGCTTGACRACACCAGAAGCAGTGATGAACACATTAGCTGGCTTGATATCTGCCACAGAAATCATTGAAATAAACAATAATACATATTCTTTATTATCCATGTTTCTGRTAAGTGAACTATTTCAATCTCCAATACACATACACTCTTAAGGAAAACATYTTATTTGTATATCATAAAAGCAAGAATAGACTGCTGTGTCTCAGTGAAATCATTCAATGTTGGAGAATTATATAAAATGCCAAATACAGGAACATTTTAAAACATCATCCACTCCTCATTGTCAGCATACTCCTGGCCTGTGAAAGTCACATTAASCTACCAGGRTTTCCTGCCCAGTTTTCCCTAYATAATMCTGAAATTGCCTTAAGCAACTTTTAAGACTTAAAGATATTTATGTTGAAGAGATTCAGATATCCATTACAGGTTCTGCTATGTACAGCTTTTCATAGCACAGATTATTACTTTTACAATGATTTATACATAGAGCGGATTTCGTATGAGTGAGACACCGTTACCGCACAGTTACCGGACCTGGCCTTCACAATTTTGGTGAACCAATGGGGCAATAGAATTTGGTTACAGTACGATTACGGTCACAGTACAGTACTGTCCGTTTCCCACTCATACGAAATCCGCTCTAGCCTTACAGTACCTCTATGCATAACTCGTCTTGAATGCATGTGTTCAAGAGCTGCTGTTAGCTGAACAAAGTATTTCCTGAAAATATTTATAGACATTTTTACTGATCAATGATTTAATTACGTTAACATATACAGACTAACATGCAGTGCCTGGCATGCAGTGTCTGGTATTTTGTTTCTGGTATACAGTAGAGTGCACGTCACATAAGCATGAAACAATTCTTAATATGTATTGCTAAATAAGATTTAGTTATCAACTAACTAAGAATTCAACAAAGCATAAACACAATGCCAATTATTTAATTTCCTTTGTAGCATTGTTCTCAATTCTTAGTTAGTTGATAACTAAATCTTATTTAGCACTACATAGTTAAGAATTGTTTCATGCTTATGTGACTTGCACTCTACCTGGTATACAGTATTTGACATGCAGTGCCTGGCATGCAGTGTCTGGTATGTTGTGTCTGGTAT